ATGGATAAGGTATCTGTCCAGTGCTAATGCTGCAGCTGGCTATCAGAGGGAGTTATCATCACGTTATTGTCACTAACTTCTGCACCATACAGTCCACTGACCAAATATTATATGTTTCATATGTCGTACATTAGAAAAAATGATTCTGACAAGCTTCTCTTGCTTTCATAAGTGGCAGAACTGTAGAAAAAACATATATGAATTCTGTTTTTAAGCAAAAGCAATTTTTATGTAGCATGAGCAGAACATATAGATCAGAAACTTGATTTTAGATCGTGCCACACCACAGTACAGTATAACACAAGGAAGTGAAATACCAGTTTGCTTATTCACAACGGAATAACTTTCCTGTGGTTGGATAACATAACCTGTGATCATCTCACCTTTTAACCACGCTCTTCACAATTACATTTCCTGCACACTCGAGTGCCTGCCCTGTGAGCACCAACAGCCATTAAAAATAAAGAGAGAAGTAGGCATCACTAATAAATGCCATATCTATGCATGTCCTGCTGGATTTCCCTGCTTTCTTTGGGAGAAAAAAAATTGAGATGTTATCTCTTTGCTTTTGATACTTCATTCCTCCTATCATAACATTTTAAAATAAGTGAATCATATGCTCCTTATCATATGCTTCATAATTCCTTCTTTTATATTCCACAATTTCTAGCGACAGATAATTCCAGCCCTAAATCTAGCACAAACACACCCATGTACAAGAGTGTCACCCACTGGAGACAGTTTTAATTTATCAGTTTCAGTCTCCAAAACCCTGGCCTACCACTTCATTCACTTGTTTATTTGCTGAGCACTTCGTCAAAACCTCTGTCCAAATCTTTGATCTCCAGCAGCTTCTAGACTATCTTCATCTGTACTGAAGGAAGGTCACTTAATTCAATAAGCAGCATAGATATTAATCCAGTAATGAACTAACCCTTTGGTAAAGGAATGTATGCTTGGAACTCAGTTAATTTTTTCTTTTTTTCAGAATAAATGAAAAATCATTTTAGAATCAATGACTCACCATAGTAGATATATTTATACTTATTCAGACACCCACCTTACATGCAATCCAAATGTTCAAAGGTAGGACACCACACTTGCATATGCAGTGGAGAGAAGCAGGTACCTTCAAAGGAACAGCTCAAAGTCCCTAAGGTAGGCTGCGTCAAGTAAGCAGAAACAGATGATGTGGACAGTCCACCAACATGCACAATAGTGCTTAGAAACCTGACCACACAGACACTCAGGAATACTACTTGTTTTTCCCTTGTGAAGCCCTGTTCAGTCTGAGTAAAAGTGGCAGAATGTGTCACAAAGAAAGCAAAAAAAAAAAAAAAATCTATAAAATAAAAAGATCACTAAATATTAATTTGTCTAACTGGAGTTATTTTTAGAAGTTTGTTTGCTTCAATATTTGGATGTTTGTCTTGAGATCTTTTCACTTTTTTTTTTTCAGTTGCTGGAGGTATGTATCTTATGAGAAAAAATAATTTTATAACTATGTTTTACTACTTCTGAGCATCTTGTAGATAAGTTCACTATAAAAGACTAATGCTTACTGGATAAGGAAAATGCCAATTCCTGACAATTTGCATGAAGAATAAATAATAATAATAATAATAATAGAATAATGTTTGAACTTGGTAATTGCAAAGCAGTCTACTGAAGTTAGCCCAAAATTAATATTCAGAGTGGAATATTTGCATTAAGTTTCTTAAAGTTTCTTCAAAACTTATTTGCATTAAGTTTTCTTTTGAAAATGTTAACCATAATATTAGTTTTATAGATGACTTACATTTGGCACAAAAGTGATTTGAAATGACCACTAAATTTAAGTACACTTACTCAAAGTCACATAAGGGGTCAGCAGTTGGTTTGGCCAACTCTGGTTCTTCCCGGTGTATCTAGGAATTACAGGACTGAAGAGGAAGACAGGCCAGGAATAAGGAGTAGAGTTGCTTCTTGGCCCTTTTGGTGAAGGTAAAGTGTAATAGCATAGGAACTCCTATGGCAAGCTAAGAGATGCCACAAGACCTGACCTAGTCTACATTGATTATAATTAAGTGTTTGGCAGCAAAATAGGCTGTAAGGAACTACTTTAACCAGCCTGAAAATAGGTTTTAACCACTAACAGGAGCTTCCTTTGGCAAAAGACGGTGGAAGAAAAGAACATGTGGGTCTGAGGAAGGGAAGCTTCCAAGACAGAGGAGAAAAGGTATATTTAGAGAGAGGCAAGGTAGGAGATAGCTCTAGTGAAAGCAACAAGGAACAGATGAACAACTCAAACAAGTTGCTTTAAACACAGACACTGAGCCAGAACCCAGAGGAGAGAGAGGGTCTGGCTCTTCCCGCTGAATCCTAGACGAGAGCTGGGAAGAAAGGCTGTCAAATTCTACTTTGAGAGAGGAAGAAACTGGTACAGATGTGATCAGATGGTTTGGAGGCGTGTAAACTCCTGGCAGAAATCAGCAGTGAGGAGGAGAAAATGATGGAGACT